CAAAGGTTTGTCGACCATCCTCCAAGTTAATATGACTAACTTTTGTCTAAATGAAAGAAAATGCAGATGAGTAGCGGTTGCCATTTTTTACAGTTTGTCAATTTTATGGCATTTGAACAGATAGAAGCAATCATGAATGACTACATTCAGTTGAAACCACAATCTAATGTCTACGAGGCTGAAACTATGGTTGAAGGTTTGTAACTTTTTAGTTTTCGTAATATTATATCCATGTCAATCAAATGAGCTTTTCTAGGCTTCTAGCATGACTGCAGAAAAGGTTATCGGCCTTCCATTTAGTTCTTTTCTTTTGCCTGACTATAGGAACATTGGATGGATTTTCATTTGACTCGGAAGATGAAGCTGACAAAACCACGGTGCACGCTGATCAACACGAGGATGATCAGGAACAAGCTGATGGAAAGACCAAGGGAAAACCTGGCAAACCATCCGTAAGATTCTTGTTATTATATTCTTAGCATTCTCCTTTTATTCAGTCTTAGATTTTTTCATATTGATCGAAACCTATATTCAGGGTCCCACAAGGAAAAAAGGAAAGCCTGCAGCAGGAAAGCTGCCCAAGAAACCAAAAAAGAAACCTCAAGTTTCTAAAAAGAGCAAAGCCAAGAAATGAGAAAGAGAATTTTGACTAATGATACTCTCAAGTTTCATCATCCTCTTCTTTATTTTTCTAGTTTGTGCTTTTATTTTTACTCAGCACATACAATTTTTTTCAACGACCTTTGTATGCTGGCACGATGAGGACCAGCAAACGGGAATGTCTATCAACAGAGGCTACTCAGCTTGTGTTACTTGTAAACTCTTGTTTTAGTTAGTGCACAGAAAAGTTCAGTGCTGTTTTACTCCTAGAAATAACTCATACATTTTGCTGAATATCTGTTTTATTGGATTAGTATCTCTTGAGGGTGTTCTTGTACTGAACCACAACGTCACTGCTTTCTATTCTCTTGGAAAGTATCTGTCCTCTGGTTGACCCTATTTTGACCCTGTGTCGAGCTCCTTTGCTGTATCAAGCCACGAGGTATTCCAACAATATGAAAGAGAAGAGAACAAAAATTGATGTTTGGATTGGTATCAAGATTGTCGTAGATGAAACAAACGGTTTGATTTTATCACTGTGTCTTTCTCCATCTACAGGAGCTTGTGACCCACCATCTATTCTCCTCATGCTGCCATAAGAAATAATTTATTGAGTTAGTCTTCTGTATATTATTTTTTTTTTCTTTATTCCTTTTTTTACTGCATAGGAACCATTCATTAGAAGCCAAGAGACCATGATGTTATTGGACCAGAAAAAGGGGGAAAAAGGGATAAAGCAGAAATAATGGTCTGAGATTCATATTACCCGCTATTGGGGCAAAATATAATAGCATAATCAGGTGACTTGCAGGTAAAAGTGCTGGTTCCATCATCAAATGCATAGCTATAAGCCCTCGGGCAAGCTCTCTTGAAGATTCCAGAATAGAAAGATGGCCTGCACGTGTTCGGGTTAGCAAATTCTCCACTACAACAGTATTGGTCGAGCCCGAAAGCTTCACATGCACTCCTGCACGCCACAACTCCTCCTTCTCCTCCATCGTTACCTGTCACCTGAAGTTCTCTAGGGCAACCTGTTTGATTTCAAGTATGCATTATATATATACTATTATCTTATACATATACCAGAAAATTAAAGTGTTATAGTTATAGAATTCGTGGAAGACCATTGTGGTCAAGAGAAAAATAGCTATTTGCCTTACATAAGTTTCTATTTTACAAATTGAACCCTCAGTAGGAAATTATTCACTAAAGGGAACACAAACCTCAGAGGAAATATTTTGTGATATAGCTTGAGGTGTATCTGTAATTTCAGGTATAGTTGTTTTTTAATAATCTTTTTTGCTATTAGTAGATTAACTTAAAACTTCTAAGATACTATTTTCGAATTTGTACTTAAATAAACAAGATTTTTTTACCCATGTTGATATCTACTACACATCCGGTGGCGTTGCATCCCCCATAAATCCCTCTTGGCCCGGCTACTAACGGCAGATTATACCCATCAACTATACTAACATCGTAAAAATCTTTCTGCTCCCCAATTCCAAGTGTTATCTCAAACAGCGATGCTGGTGGCGTAGCACCAATGCCGCCACATTCGAGCCGCCCGCCACAATCTCCGGTCTGACATGAACCGAGTCCCGTCTCATCAAATGTGCATCCAGTCCGGGCCCATATCCGGCCCGACCAGCCCGGATAATTGGGGATGGAAAAACTCAGGCCCGGATCCAGCTGGAACCCAGTTGTGGGGAGCTGAGGTGTACCTGAGCCAGCTAGAGTGCCGGGCCATATCGTGTAAGGGCAGTTGTTGGTTATGGTGAACGTGCACGTGATTGAGTCGGTGTATAATGCGATGAATATCAGGTAAATTGAGAGTTTTCGAGGTGCCATTAGCGGGACGGGAGATCGGTTTGTGAATCATGTTTGATATTTGTAGAGAGATTCAAGTGGGGATGAAAGTTTTGAGGTTTGTTTGTTTGGCTTGCGAAGCTATTTGGGTTTAGCATTTCTTGTTATATTGGGTGGCCTATAGGAGAAGCAATTCCTTACTTTGGAAGGGTTTGAAATATTTGGGAGAATAGAGAGTTCTTCGTTGGGAATCTTTGAATCAAACTCGGGCTACGCATGAAGAATATCTTATGAAAAAGGACATACTAGGATTCGAGCTGGAATTTTATGCATAGATTGGAGGAGGTTTTCGTAATTTTGATATTAAGTAGGAACTTTTTGTGAATAAATGAAGTCGAGTTGTGTTTTTTATTTTATTTTTTTTTTCTTTTTATTTTCTCATTTAATTTTTCTTTGAGTCTGGAGGATATAGGAGTGGACATTGATTTCTACCAACGCCAACAAATCGAAAAGCTGTTAGCAGAATAGCTTTAAGTGAATTTCACCTTAAAGAGTATTTGCAATGGTCCATTGATTGCTATATTTCATTGCTATGTGGTTCTAAAAATTTGACATTTGAAATGTGTACAAGTCTTTCTAGATGTCGAAAGAATTTTATACATCTTATATATTCTACATATTATATTATTTATTTTATATCTCTCTTAACAAGTCAATTATTATCTTAAACATGTTCAATTATTATACAATTGACATTATCATTAGAGATAACATATTTTTATTTTCTTTCTCTACATTATAAATCTCAAAATAGACATTGTGCAATTAGAGATGCTCTAAAAATGTGGGTACTGCTGCACGAGTGTGTGAATTCGTGTGCGAGGGTCGAGTTCTTCAATAGCTCTCATATTTTCCAAATAAAAGCAATCTTGTAAACCAAATTCCAACTTAGGAATCTCTCCTATAACTTAACCCAAGTTTGTCGAAAAACCCTCACTAGATTCATAAGGACACTGTAAATGTTCACATAAAGTTGAGGCGAATTGATACACCCCTGAAATATGAGCACTCTATTTCAATAGGTAATGGATTTAAGCGGGTTTTGGCTAGTAAATAAGAAAAGGCCCATTTGATATTTAAGAAAGAAGGTCAATACATTTTTTCAACTTCACGAAAGAGCTCTCGATTCTTGACATTCAGCAAAATTCTAACAATTCACCGCCTTCACATTCTCTTTTATCACTTAAACATCACGTGAGTTCACAACGGTCCTTCCAGCACATGGCAGTAGATCACAGAGAAAGACAACATTAAGATAAAATAAACATAATCTGTAATGTACATTGTCAGGATACTTGGACTCATACAACATTTTGATCTGCAAAAGACAGAATCAAAGTACATGAACTTAACTCATCTTTACATAATTTTGACTTTTGAACCTTTACGAGGCTAGATTGACACAAATGCCGGGCGGATTGCCATACGTCTCGGATGGGTCCCCATTCATCCACTTCCACAAGGACAAGAGTTCCATCAACTGAAAGAGTTAGAATTAATATTGAGTATTATCAACAACTTTTATTATTGATGATGATTGCAATTAATGATCAATAATAATAGACAATGTTGTATAGGTACCCGAAACCAGACTCTGTGCAGAAGTATCCCTGGCCACGTGTCAATATTGTAAGACAAACTATAAAATTTTGTCTTACAGTGTTGATATATCATATCAAGTGTAGATAGCCGTGGCCATAGATACTTCTACACAGAGTCTGGTTTCGGGTAACTATACAATATTATCTAATCTATTATTATCGAACAACATACTACTCTAAGTGATGGAACTCTTGTCCTTGTGGAAGTGGTTGAACGGGGGCATCCGAGACGTATAGCAATCCGCCCGACGTTCGTGTCAATCTTTACCTAAACACTATAGGCTTAAAAAAATCTGAATAGTAATTTTGCTCTCTTTAAATCGAACAAATATCTCAACAAGTCTCTTCACTCTTGATTTCTCGGCTAACATATTCCCAGGATGCACCTTTCATGGTTAAATGATGGCAGTCAAAATTAAAAAACCAATTGTTATAACCATAGAGAACCGAAAAATATCTTTGTGGTCAAGTAGAAGATATGTCTACACAGTGGGCTCAAATTTCTCACCAGAAAACGGGAAGGACAAAAGTGGGAAATGAAGATGATATGTTCTCTTTTTCTTTATTGTTTTTTCTTGTCCAACTTCCAATGGCCCGAAGGTGACTGAACAGTCTGTTAGACTCAGTTCTAACAGATGAATTTCTTCATTGTCAAGTAGATGGGGCACATTCTCGGAAAGCTGCAATTGACAAAGCATGACCTTTTTTTTCCTGCATGAAAGAGAAATAAATTTAGAAGATTCACAAAAACCCGATTCAGTTTATTGCTACTGTAAAATTCATTATTACAACAAACAACATTAAAAAGGAAAAAAGAAAAAGCGCACACACACACACACATCTAAATGGCATACGCTTCCAATCCTGCAAAAATGACAAACCAGATAAGCATGACAGACTTGTACAACACCCAGAATAAGATTAGAAATTCATAAGGAAATGAAGCAAAGCAAAGACAAAATCAAATACAATCTTCCCCCTTCACCTGCAGCAAAAATGTAAAAAGAAAAATAAAATGTTAACCAGGAATAGCTTTTACCAGATAATAAAGCTCCCCCGAACCTGAAGAACAAAACAATCAAACAGTACACCCGAGATCTATGTATAATATTACACCACATCATGAATAAAATATTTGTACACTTCCGCCAATAGAATCTGAAGGATCCTCAGATCACAGTGGAGGAGCTGACGTCATCAATACAGATAACAGGGTACAACAGACCAGAAGCAAAAGAAGAAATAACATGAAAACAATTAATCAAGAAGAGAGTAACAACTAGTAGTGCACCAAAAATAGATCAAAACAAGGCATTCTAACATAACCTTGCCTTATAGCATACTAGCTCAAACTTCTCAATAAGTTCATCAAACATAGAATCACAAAGATCCTAGGAGTTACGAGTCTCGTGACATTGTTATAGCCACAACACAAATAAAACAGTAGAGTTCTTTTTTCCTACATAGTCCTCAATTCATAATAGGCAAAAATAAGACCAAGGGAAAATAGACGGGGACAGAAGTGAAAATTAGCATGTTATGGAACATTCTAGTTTGTATCCATGCCATCGCCAACTGGACTGCATATAGGCCACACAGAATTAAATGATCTCTCGAAAGGTGACGGACAAAGCTGACTATCCCTCCTCCGCTTGAGGCCACACATCTCTGCCGGGCCGCCCTCAGAATCGAGCTTCCTCCGGACACCCTTCACAGCCTGTTGCTCGACTAGGGTCAGTGGAAAAACCTGTTTGCTCACTCGGCAGAGGGAGCTATGGTTGTCATACAAGATTCGCTGGTTACAGTTTTTGTCACAAACATGGGTCAGTCCAGTTAACCTGCATCGATACATGTTGCCACAGATTTGTTCGTTTTGACATTTCCAGTCACACTTGTGGACGGGCTGGGGCCCGTCCAGCCCAAGAATACTAGACAGGTAAATAACATTGGTAGGGACAGCTACCATAGATTTGCCAAATACCTCCATTTTTTTTCTGTTCAGTAAAATGTAGTGTTATATCCTCAAAGTATTCCCCCACCTTCCCAACTTGTGGACACAGATGTTCTGCAGACCCAAAACAAGAGGACAATCATTTTTGGTTCTAGAGAGAGCTTATTCTTGGTTCAAATGAAAAAAAAAAAATGGATAACACAAGCAAGAAAGGTCATTTTTGAGCTTTTCTAGATTAAAAAAAAAATGACTACTAGAAGCATTTTCTGCTTTCATTACCAATTCCAATAGTCCTCACACATAAATCGGATAGCACATGCGAGACTTTGCCAATAATAAACCATGATGCTCATACATAACAGGCGTATCTGATAACTCCCGATGCGATATTTCATAACTCATCATGTATTGACTAATATTGCGACTCACAAGCACCATTATCCGAAAGCAATACCAAACTATACTTTCAACGGCAAGAAAAAAGAAATTGGATAACCAATAGATGAAGAGAGCCATCAGGGGAAATAACATCCAAGGGGCATTATACAAACAATTAAACGGACAGGACTTACCTACATTCCAGCTTGAAGGATTAGCTCAAATACTATGAAGATGCATAACAAGATACTGAACTAACTGTGGTCCAATTTTTATCCACTGAACTCCATGAATCTATCCAACTAACAAATCAAATCCTCAATACATTCACTAAAACTGAATACCTATTGATTCAAACCCCATTAGAATCCATATGCTTCGTAAGCTCATGTACAGCTTAACGAATTACAAAACCCCATTAGAAATCGTGCATTTTCCGTACAGCAGCTCCATTTTCAAATTCTACCTTGCAAAACCCAAAATACTAAAATTCTTCTCGGATAACAACCATAATAATCAATTCCATTATGAAGCTCAGTTTTCAAAATATACCTCGCAAAAATCGAAATACTAAATTTTTTCTCGGATAACCACCACCATAATAACCAGATCTTATCCAAAAACCCAGAAATTTCAACAGAAATTAACAGCTAATGATCCCCCATGCAGCTTTCATACAAACAAACACTGCACAAGCGTCTTTTTATATCTGACCTAAACCCCAAAATAAATTTAAAAAAAAAAATGCTCCAATAATTCAAATAAATCAGAACTTACAAGTGAAAACCAGAGCAACACGAAGCCAACAGCACCACCAACTCTCTCTCTCTCTCTCTCTCTCTAACAACAAAATCTGAAGGGGCAAGATGAGAGAGGATGGTGGGGATATTTATAGAAAAAAAAAAGTGATCCGATTCTTTTGTAAAATATTTTCTTTCGTAAAAATAAAATGTAATTAATTATAATTAATTATACCCAAGAGCGCTTGAATGAGATGGCTTGGGTCTCTTTCAACTTAACCAGATGGCTTGGATCTCTTTCAGTTTAACCATTGGTCTCGTGTTTGAGGCTTGGGAATACAGCAGCGGCAGCGTTAAAAACTCTTGAGGGATAGTTTTACCGTCCTTGTGGTCCTACCCGACTCGATTCTGGATTAATCGGTTCCCCTGTGTACCAAAAAAAAAAAATATAATTAATTATTTCTTGAGAGCACGGTAAAATTATACTTGAGCCTCCTAAAGTAGCGTGTATTTATGTTCCTGCCCCTCTAATTTCGTACCAATTCCCCAGTTACTATTAAAAGTGTCTAAAATTAAGAATTTATCACATTTTTAAATTTGGGTGGACTTATATATTGAAAAAGAACTATAAAATGAGATTAGGTGAACTTATATATTGAAAAAAGAACTATAAAATGAGATTATTAAATTATAAATTAAATTTCTTAATGTCATATGCTAAAGTTCAAACACAAATCTTTTTAACACAATCACCTTAATGATACTCTATATCTCTATTTTTCAACATTTATATAAAATATCAGATAAGAAGAAAAAAAAAAAAAAAAGGTAGTTGCTCCTTTTATTCCTGAATTATTATTCCATGACGTTAATCTGATTGGTTGGGGCAAAAATATCATTTCGCACTACTGAAGGGAGGACACATAAATTTTACCAAGTCAAGGGGTAAAAAAGCAATTTCAATATTACACAATGGCCCTAATATTCAGTGCAGATTTAGGTGAAAATCGGATGAAATAGAGTTGAATTTGTCGTGTTTCGCTTTTGTTTTTATTGTTTGTTAGCGTGAAAAGTGGGAGCGGGAATTAATGCGAGTCCGAGTGAGTGCGAGTGAGTCGGTAATGCATTTACTCCACCTAACAATTCTCAATACATAAATTTATAAGTTATTGGTATACATGTAATATTAATTTTATAAGTTATGTAATACTATTATATTCTACATATAGAGTATTATAATTTATATTTTTTTATTATTTTTTTTATATAATATTAAAATTATAAATTAAATAATAGTATTATGTTTTAAACTTTAATCAATGGTTAAAGTAACTAGTACATAACATTTGATTGCATACAAGACACATGGATCTACCGACCCTCCACCAGCTTTACCGGGAACATGCTACGTCATCCACATTGCATTTGGGCTACCAACCGTGACTCTTATACCAATTGTTAAGACCAACAACTCAAACTCAGTTCTCCACCAAACCCAACGTACAAACCCAATGAAGTTCCTTTTATAAAATCAATTGAACAATAGAAGAAGTAGTCTACAGACTTATATATTGGACTTTAAGCCTTTAATACTTTGATGTGGAATTGGATTTCCACACCCTACACAAAATTATTGTTTTAATAATTAAAATAACCGAACATAAGATCTATTATTTTTTAATTAAATCTCACACAAGTACACAACAACATTTATAATAAATAGACACTTTATTTATTTATTTATATTGTGACATTGGATATTTTAAATTATGTAGATAAGAGGTAGAATGTACACTTTCTTTTTTTTTTCATTAATTTTGGTGAAAACAACTTACCAAATTAGACAAGAATATCTTGAGACTATGGACAACTTATGAATATAAATGGGCACACGGGCTTCACGAGTTCAATTTCAATCGCTTATTAATGAAGACTAATATAGAGCTCGTGCGATGCACGGAGTGCACAATTTTAAGGCTATTTATCAATTCTTATAATTATATAAATGAATAAAAAAATGTACGGGATATATATAGTACGTGACCTGTAATAGGCCAAAATGTGAACACGGGTGATGCACGGGGTGCACAATTTTAAGTTCATTTATTAGTGCATACCCCGTGGGATGCACGTGATACATATAATAAATCAATTATTTCTATAGGACTTGTACGTCTAGACAAAAAAACAATAGGCTCGGATCATCCATATTTTACATCTTTTAATAAGTGGCGTTTATTTAAGCCAAAAAATTAACATGTTAATTAATATATAATTCCGCTAACACGTCATACTAATATTTATTTAATTTTAGAATATATATTTATTCATTGATATAGGGAAAAATAAAAATTTCATTAATTATTGTTCACCATATAATACTCAATTATTATTTTATTATAAAATTTACAGTCATATAATGTAATTATTATTATTTATAAAAGTTATAGAAGTAGTCTTCTTTATGTAATTAAATTCAAAATAAAATTTTGAGTATAAATGTTTACAAAATACGCACACATGTTTTTTAGAATTAAATTTTTTCATAATAATTTTTTTTTAAATGATTTAGCAATTGCCAAAAAACAAATCCATTACATAATCAAGAGATTTTTTTTTTTAATTTTCATCCTAAGACTTTATAGTTTATTTAACATACTATGCAATAGAAAAATATTTTACAATAAGTTCATTTTTGAAACATAACAAAAAAAAAAGTGATAAAAACACTATCATAGTTGACAATAATATACAAATAAATAACATGTCGAAATTTTAAAGAATAATTATATTTTTATTATCTAACCATCAATAAAATCATTTAATAATGTGATCATTATCTTTTAAATAATACTTAAATAATATTATTTTTTTTAAAAAATATTAGTGTTATATAATTAAATAAAGGTTAAAAAATATTACTCGACAAATATTAATTATAATGGATATCAGTAAAATCATTGCATAAATTATTTAAGGAAAAAAATCTTAAAGATCATATTTGGATAGTAAATGTAAATATGCAAGCATTTAATGCATATAGTAAAAAATTTCCAATTAAAGTATGCATTAAATGCGTGTTGACTTTTCTTGCTATTGTTTTTGGTAAATAAGTTGGCTTTTAATATATATATAGATTACGCGCTGAAAAATAATTCACAATCACGTGTTTTATTTTCTGTTGAAGATCATTATGTTGACCCATTCAATAAGCCATCGTAATCTCTAACTAAATTAGATATCATATTTATATTTTTTGAGATTTTTTTTTAACAACAAAGAAATCTGATTAATATTTTCTTTATGAAAATAGTTTGGAATATTTCTAAATGCACGGATTTAAAAATCAAACACCAAAAAATGTGCTGACTTCTCAACTGCATTTAAAAGCATTAAGTAATGATTAGATTTGAAATAAATAAATATAAAATACATAATATTCAAATGATAAAAATAGAAAAACATTAATTGCTTTGACTATTCTACATACTAAATTTAGTAAATGGTATAGCCTTTAATATAAGTATAGATTATGGAATTGATTTCTTACTTTAGCTTAAACTTAAAGTCTGTCATGTCGGTCAAAAAAAACTCTCACGAGCCCTTTCATAACTTATTATTATTATTATTATTATTATTATTATTATTATTATTATTATTATTATTTAAATGAAGTTGTTAATTGGAGTTACTTATGAATTGTGATTACTTATTAACATGTTTTCTAGGATCTAAATAATTCGATTCGAGTTTGAGCTCGTGTAAACTGAGTTATTAAACAAATTTGACCCTCAACAAATAAACTCAAACTTTAATGTAAATTAAGTTTTATATAAAAAAAAAAAATCATTTTTCCGTGTAATTTTTCGTCTAACGACATAATCCGTTAGTGGTGGAATTGTTGACTTTTTAATGTTAGATCCTGACTTTCTGCTGCCAATCAGCCAAACTTAGTGGGCCTTCTAATTGGACCATTGCGATAAGCGTTGAGTAGATTTTCTGTATTAAAGAGCTTGCTCTTTGGGCCCATTAATATCGTATTGTAGACGCCCAGACACCACCCACATTAGGCCCATTAAAGTCGACATTTCACAAGAACCCAACATTTAATCCTCCAAAATAATCCCTCAGGTAGTATCGAAGTGTGACAAGTCTAACAAAACAATTATTGACATTAATACTTGAGTTTCAGCTGAGTTATCATCATCAATTTTTTACATGATCTTGAAAATTTTTACATGATCTTGTAATTCTCCTCCGTGCCTACAACATATTCGAGTTTCACGAAAAAATTCCGACGATAATGCTTCCAAAAAGGAAAGATAATATTAATGTATGGCAAACAAAAAAACTGAAACACAAATTTGATCGATAGAAATTACGAAGTGAAGGTCTCAACACTGCAAATACACACCAATGTAACATAATTTGGCCTCCAATAGGGCCTTAAAAACTATAGCCATCAAACACGAGCTAGACTCTCGACAAATTCAACTGCGTCGTTCGAAACAAACTGAATTCGACCCTCCTCGTAAATCTCCTCGTCCCTAAAATCGACCAGCACTTTCTTAACCTCTCCTCGAAATCCGCACGCCACAACTTTCCCCGGCTCGTGATACACCAACACACCATTTACTACTCCCAACACGGAGAGTTTCCCCGAAACTCCACCGAGCTCGAAACTACACTTCAACGACCATTTAGTAAAGTCCCTCGCCAATTCAAACACCATTACCTTATTTTTGCAAAGGAAATGCGCGACACAATGAAGATAGCCGCAAGATTCAACATACTCGCGATTGAAAAACTGTTTCCCGATGCCACCAGGGACTTCAATTTCCGGATGCTTCCCCACGAAACCTCCATCGATGTGGAAAAACATCTCGTGCCAATGAATGCGACCGTTTACATACACCCCTCGATTGAAATCCATATCGGTCGGTGCCCAAAATGGCTTGCCAGGAATCTTCCAAGAACAATCGTCCGACTCGTAAACCTCCACTCGGCAAAGACGCCACAAAGAACCCATGGAACTGAAAGGCGCCCATCTAACGAGCCTAACGCATATAATCTTGTAATGGGCCGAATTTATTAGTGGGTCGAAAGCTATATTGAGCCCGATCACGGGCTTGTAATCATCCTCGTCGGCTCGGAGGGAAATGCTTCGGGATTGTTTAGTTGTGGGGTTGAAAACAAAGCATTCTTGAACATGACCATTCTTGATTTCGGCACAATGGAGCAAGAACAGGCCGTTGGCAAAGCTCGACACGATCGGCTCGGCTAGAAATGGAGAAAATCGATACGGCACTAAACTACTCTTTTCGAGACTCCCGTCGAGGTGAAGGTAAAAATAGTCGGGTTTTTCCAAAAGGCGGAGGAGGAGACTGCAGGGTTCGGTTTTCGAGCGGTGGCCTTCGTTTAGAATGTGTTTTTGTTGGAAATAGTCACTAGATAACAAGGAGAACCAGTGTTTGGAGAGTAGTTTGAATTTGATGAGGGATTTTGGCGGGAGCCATGAGAAAATCTCGATCAATATATGGTCATTGAAAGATATTACTACCATCTTCAGAGCAACAATGGGTTTAAGGTTTTCACGGGAATTTGGGAAATGGTGGAGGATTTATATGGAATATAAATAATAATCCATGTATGAATATAAAAATAATTAACGTGGCTTCTGCATGACGTCGTTGGCGTCGCATATCCACGAGCAACTATAATCTAGCGGATTCTAGGCTCCGGCCTCCTTTCTTGACAAAAAAAAAAAAAAAAAGAAAAAAAGTTATGTTTTGATTTGTTATCAATTATTATCACTCGTGACCATTTGATATTAGATGCCTTGAGTCAATGTATCTAATCAGTAGGTTTTGAATAAGCCAATATAATTAAAAAAATAAACAAATAAAAAATGTGGGAAACGTTGACAAAAGAGCAATCTAAAATCTTCCAAAGTCCAAGGCCGGTGAAATACGCGTAATCATCAATGACGACATTGCTACGTAGAATTTGATGAAAGATGCAAGGATAAATAATACTAATATAAAATATAAATTAAATGTGAAAATAGAAATATTAAAATTATGTTTATATTAAACGTGGGATTATATACAGAGTTTAGAATACATTGGCAATAGACCACTAAAGCTGAATATTTGATAGTCTATCGTATAAACAGATAACAGATAATCTAACTATTTTAGTTGGTTTGACTAGCATATCAGTAATGCTCAACTACCCACGGTGAACACATGTTAACATCATCCATTTATACATGCCACATAAGCAGTGGACATATTAACATGTGTCCACCGTGGGTAGGGGAGCATTATTGTTGACCATCATATTTAATTAAAAGTTTGTCAAATAAGTGTTCGATAAACAATGGAAAGTTATAGCCATTAAGTTGTATTGTTAGTAGTTCTTTTGAATCATGTATGCTGCTCTTTTAGGCTTTTTTTTAGAATTATCCTTTGGAGTCCAAAAAGCTAATGAAACGAGTTCATTGCCAATCGAGTTAAATAGCATATTTGATTGGTTGAATCTTTAAATGAGGTTTAATATGCTAATTTATATATATATAATTACTAGCTCATGAGCATTTAAGAAAACCTATTAAATTATACCTATGTGGCAATTTTAACATTTTCCCTCAAAAAACCGTTACTTTTGATTATTTAACCTTTCATTTAATTAATAAATAACAAAGAAATAAATAGCTCGCTAAAGTTGCCGCTATTTGAGAAATAGCTTTTTTTGGCAGTGTGTCGCTATTTGTATTCATGTGCAATTTAGCCGCTGAATCTCCGCTATAACTCCGTTATAGCTACAGTGCTATAAATGTTTTAGCCCGCTATTTAAAACATTGATAAATAATCAACACATTAATCACTTTAAAATTATAAAAATTATTTTAAACTTTTGATTACTGACAGTTAACCATATAACGTGTTGACCGTATAATGTGAGTAGATGTTATTATTGTGGTTACATGTAAATTAATTTTTTTGGAGAATCAAAAATGGATCTGAAATTTCTAAATAAATAAAAAATAATTTACAAAAAAAATATGTATCAAAATATACATTACATCCAATCTAATACACGCAATTTAAAAAAAAAATATTTCAACTCTTTTAATTGTAAATTTGGCCTCCAAAAAAGTGAAAGAAAGATCATTAACCATTAAAGGTGTAAGCGTTTTTATATTTGTATTTGGTCATACAAATAACTCGCAATATTTTATTTATATTTGTGCAAATGCACAGGTCGTATACTAGTTTAATATCAATTTGCTAATATTAAAACGAGTCCAAAGAACTTACATATTTTTTTATTTTTTTTATTATTCTTGATACAATGATACATATGTTTACATGATTCCATAAATACATACGATAAAATATTCTGCAATTCCTTATATAACAACATATAAAATTATTTTTTTAATATAAAAGCCTTGTGTATAAATAGATTGATGCATCTTATCAGATATTGAAACCCAAAAAAAAAAAAAAAAA